TTCTTGGTTCTGCAGTGCCCCCCTCCCATGACCTGGCTGTTCGTCAGGGCTACAGCTCCACCCACTCCAAGAGAAACACCAGCAGAATGAACTAAGCGAACAATTTCTACAATAACCAGACTGCTATGAAGGAAAACAGCACTGACAGACATCAGAACTCTGATCAATGCTGTGACCAATGCTGACTTCAGCAGACATCTCTGGTCTCTAATCTCCAACAGAGAGGTGGAGGACTCCAGGTACAGAATGAGGGGTACAACTGTGGATTTGATTGGCTTGTCTGTCCCTGTCTGTTACATGGAGGGAGGGGTGTCAGAGGAAGTGACATTTAGGGTTGTTGTTTTGATTTTTTAAAGGGCATCAATTAAACAAAAAAAGGAAAGTAGCTTGTGTGGCCCTGGGCAATTTCCTCACTTCCTGCTTCAGGTTTCTCATCAGTAAATTGAGGACCATAGACAATAGATTTCCACTCCATATCTCCCAGGGGTGTTGTTGATAAAAGTGCTTTGTAAACCTTAAAACCCATAGAAGGGCCATCTATCATCAAATCACTCTTCACTCCTCTATCCCAGATCCCCCAAAGGGATGATATACATGTTATTCTGGAGGACAGCACAGGAGAGGCCATACAACCTGCTCTGGGCCAGAGGGACTGCGGCCTCCAGGATCCCTATCCAGTTTTCCAATGATGTCCGAGATTTCTTTCTAGCTCTCCTATGATATCCTGAACTTTTGTCTAGCTCTATCTCAAGCTCTCCGGAGGTCTAGGATGTCCCTATCCAGCTCTCCTGTACCCCCCCTCCATCCTTTCTTCTTTAAGTCCCCTGGACATCTAGCCACATCTGCCATGATCCTCAGACCTTTGTCCATATCTCCCACAATACCCCGGACCTTGATCCCCAGCATTCTTATGACTCCTTGATATTGAGGCTCTAGCTGTAGTAAACAGGGCTTTATACTCCGGTCCAGGGGTGGGGAACCTGTAGCCTTTGATTCAGTCAAAGGGCCACACTTGAGGACCTAGAGGGCCACATGTGGCCTCGAGGCCAAAAGTTCCCTGCCCCTGCATCTGGTCTCTCTTCTAGGACTAGGTCAGCATGGCCTGAGAAGCAGCCTTTGGCAGTCACCATCTAGCTGGGTGGTTTTGGCACTCACTCCCTGAGAAGAAGCTCCAAGGTAGAAGGAGAGTGGGGGAGTAGGGGGAGGGATGGCCAAGGGAATTTCTTCTCCAAACCTCAGAGTATTGTAGCAGGTCTGTTCTCTGCCACCTTCATTCATGCACTCATGCATGCTGGCCTTTCAGAACCCCACCTGCAGCTCCCGAAGAGGCAAGGTCACAGCCCCCCTCCACCTCCAGCTCCTTTGGGGACTACATCAGACAGAGGTCCACTATGGGCATGGGACCCTTTCTCCCCTCATATGTCTATGTACAGGTGTGTCCTGCTCACCATGTCAGGCCAAATCCCTGTGATTCCTTAGCATGCACAAGCCTTGATGAAGCACCTGTGTGCATGTGATGGGATGCTGGACTACCTTTGTGCCTAGTGACTTATGCCAGACCTAAGCCCATGCCTTCTGGGGAAGAGGTTGGAAAACTTGGCACAAACCCCACTAAAGTACCTCCCTAGGGCCCTGGGACTGCTCTTCTCCCCCTCTCTGATGGGGGCCTCTCTTTTCTCCTCTCATGCCAATGTCTCCTGCCTGCCAGTGCCCCCCCCCCCACTGGCCAGCTGCTGGTGCTCAAAGCTAATCAAGCCTGAAAGGAGGCAAGGACCAGGCCAGACCTTACAATTACTGATCAGCAGCCCTGATATGAAAGTCTCCCCAATTCTAATCACTCCTCAGAGCTTGCTGTAGAACAGGACATGGGCTAGACTTGGAGGCTACTCTGATGCTTACTAGCTCTGGCCCCACAGTGATTCGACCATGGATAAGTTGTATCTTGTTCCTGAGCCTCAGTTTCCTCTTCTGTAAAATGGGAAAAATAATCCTTGTACTCCTTCTTAGGGTTACGTATGTGTGTATATGTGTGTGCATATACACACACACACACAAAAAAAATCACATACATACACATTTGTTGATCTAGTTTTTTTAAAACATCATTGTCACTTTCCAATTACTCACTCGCCCCCCCTACATACATGTACACACATACCACCACCAACCACCACCACCATCCTAGAACCTTCCCTTGAAAGAAAGAAGTAGCCATTAAACAAAGCAGATTAACACACTGGCCTTGTCTGGCAATGGATGCCTCATTGAGCACCTTCAGCCCAGAAGCCCTCTCCTATAGAGGGCACACTTCACTGTCGGGCCTCTGAGGTCACAGTTGGTCACTGCATTGATCAGAGCTCCTCACAGGGCTATTGTCCAGGCACGGGCTTTGTAAATGTCAGAACCCTGGAGAAACAGAAGCTGCTTGTGCTCGAGGCCACTATGGGAGGTCTGAAATCCATCTCATGTGCATGTGCCAGATTCTCCCAAATCACCAGACTGGCTCTGGGAAGAAGAACAATGCCCTGTACTGAGTGATGGGCTTGGAGAACTATCGTCATAGTTTCAGCTATAGTGATTGGAATCATAAGAAAAACTTCCATTTCTCCAACATTTTCAGGCTGACAAAGCATTTCCCTCACAAGCCTTCAAAGGAGTGAGTGCAAAGACAACAGTCACCCCCATTGTAGGGAAGAGAAAGCGAGTCCCAGAGAAGGAAGTGACTTGCTCAGGGTCACACAGCTAGTAATCAGCAAAGCAAAATGAAATGATCCCAGCCATTCCAAAGAAGTCAAATACAGCAAGGTCCCATATATACATATAGAGCAGGCAAAGTAGCACTTTTTGTAGCAGCAAAAAATTGAAAGGAAAATAGGTGTCCATTGATTGGGAAATAGCCTGACAAATAGGAGTGTAAGGTTATTGGTCTATGCGAAAATAACAAATGTGAGAAATCCAGAGCAACATGGACTGGTGCAGGTCAAAACAAGCAAAACTAGGAGGGCAAGAAACACAATTAACAACAATGTAAACAAAATCCCCACTAAAATGAAAGCTTTGTCATTGTAATGATCAGAGCAGTGGGGGCCTACAGGAGCCCAGTGCTATATCTAATTCAGATATGTCAGAGGTTTGAACTTAACTGCTTTTCTTTGTTACAAGTGAAACCTCAGCTGGGTGGTGAGTGGGGTGGTATGTCCAGAAATGACCATAATGCAAAAATCAAAGTCATAAATAAAACATTGAGTTTTAAAAGGGGGGATGGGTTGCCTTTGGAGGGTGAGCTCCCCATAGTGAAGATCTTCAAAAAAGGGTAGGATTTTGTTTGAACAGAGGAAATGTTATAGAGATCCTTGTTCACTGATAGAACTAGTTGACCCCTGAGGTCTCTCTGAACTCTTCAGTCTTATTTCCCTTACCCTATATTTGTTCCTGCTTCCCCTGACCCCTGTTCTAGTCTTGTTTTCACTTCACCCACAAGCAGACACACTCAGGGCTCCCCAATACCCCCCTAAACATACCCATTCTCAATGCTCACTCTCTACCAAGCCACAAACCCTGGAACATCCCTAATCTCATCTCAAATAGATCTCATCTATCAGCTAGCTAATGGAAATTCTTTTGAGGGGCTTCCTTCTGCTTGCAGATATTCCAACCGAGCCCATGAGACCATACCTTAATCCAAAGGAATGACTAAGAATGCAACATTGAGAAGCAAGTTGGGTGTCAGGAAAAGTTTGGGGCACTCGTTGAGGAGCCTCTCAAATCACACCACATAAGGCTCCCTATCTGCTTTGTCTAAGCACAGCAATAGCCCTGGCCCCACAGTCTCCAAGAGCCCTTGTGGCTCTTTAAGAATCGCTCAACCCAGCCAACCTTCATTCAATTACAATATAAAATCAGGCAGCCTTCTTTGCCGATGTCTCCCATTCTTTCCCACCTGCCCCCTACTCCAAGCACTGCTTAGCCAAATTGGCTTGTAGCTTAATGGCAGCCAAGGTACGGAAGGAAACCCCCACATCTACAAAGTGCTTTGGAATCCATTCCACAGACTGAAAAAAAAATACCCTGCGAGAGATATGTGCACAAATATGTACCTTAAAAGGGCCACACTATTTGGGTTTGTGCCCCCCCCCCTTTAAGAACAATGTATTTTATATCGTTCTCTAATGATGGGGTCTTCGTTCCAGCAAAGCTCAGAGAATCAGTTGTCTACATTTGTCAGCGACACTGGCTCTAGAGGGGGAGGGGGAGAACTGGCATCACTATCTATGGGGACGGAGAATAGACAGCAGGACCTCTTGTTCCCCAGGCTGGAGACTCTTGGGAGTCCAGAGTCATTTAGTGAGTACAAAGAGTTTTTCTCCTAGGGAAACACCCTTTCTCTGGTGCTGGACAGCGGCTTCACTGTCAGACTAGGGAGTCACTAGCTGTAAGTGGGGCCCAGGCGAGGACCTGGCTTGAAATCAGGGCTGTGAAATCTCTAGTTGGGCAATTTAGGACAGCCTCCTTCCCCTCTCTGAGCCTCAGTTTCCCGTCTCTAAAAAAGAGGAGGTTTGACTAAAATGGTCTCTAAGGCGTCTGCAGTTCTGGATCTTAGGAAGTGGCTTCACAAACCACTCCCCCCTCCTCTCGAACACTTGCACTAGCCTCCAGTCAGACCTCTGACCTCCAACCCGCCCCACCCCACCCCCGGGGCAAGTCCGGCCCGCTAGGGGTCGGAGGTCAAGGGCGGAGTCAAGCATCCTTCCAGGCATTTCCTTGGGATTGGGTTGTTAGGGCAAGAAAGAATTGGATCTCGAAAACCAACCACTCCCCGAGGAGCCCTGAAATGGGTTTGGGGGGCAGGAAAGGGAGATGGCAAGGGTGGGTGCGGGAACGGTGTGGCTCGGCAAACTGGCGAGCTGGCACCGTCCCGGTCCCCGAGCCCGAGGTACAGAACGGTGGTCTCGAGATTCAGCCAGTCGGCCCGGGCCCAGAGCCCTCCCTGCCCCCATCACCTTGATCTTCTCGCCCTCGATATCCACCGTCTTCTCCTTGAAGTCCACGCCGATGGTGGCTTCGGTCTTGTCGGGAAAGGTGCCGCCGCAGAAGCGGAATGTCAGGCACGTCTTGCCCACATTCGAGTCGCCGATCACGATGATCTTGAAGATGCGGACCTGCACGTAGTGCTCCATGGCCGCCGAGTCGAGCTCCAGGGAGGCCAGGCTGGTGCCGGCCGTGTCCGGGGAGGAAGCAGTGGCGGTGGCGGTGGCGGCAGCGCGATGCGGCATGGCCCCGCGCGCCGGGCCCGAGGGCGGCCTTGGCCGTCCAGCCGCCGCCGCCACACAAAGGAGAGGGGTCCGCTGCGGCTGCTCGCCGGCGCCTCAGGGCAGAGGGTGTGGGAGTCGGCCCGGGTGTGTGCCGTGCGGGGCTGGCTGTGCGTGTGCGGGTACGCGCGAGTGTGTGTGCGGGGAGCGCGCGCGGCACAAAAGGCGGACGGCGGGAGGCGGCGGCGGCGGCGCGTGGGCAGTGCCGAGTGGGCAGGTCTAACAATCAGGTGGCGCTCACGGAGGCCGCCGCCGCCGCCTTGGCTGCTGCTACCGTCTAAGGCAGCCCTCGCCTCCCCTGGGGCTCGCCGAGGGGGGAGGGGCCAGCGACCGCCTTGCCAGATGTCAGGCTCCTCGTGCCAGGCTCCAGCTTCCCCCCTTCCCCCCAGTCACACCGAGAGCGCCCCTCGCCCAAGGTGCCCAGGACTGTGGCTTCCATTGGCTACTCCAGTCGGTTGCCTCTGGCTAGCCAATGGGGGCAAGGCCTCGCACGCGGAGGAAGGGGCAGGGATGGGGTGTAAGCGAAAGAGCCTTGGACCTTAGAGTCAAGAGTTGCAAGGTCCCACGCGGCTCTACCGCTAGGTTGCTGTACTTCTTCGGATAAGTCCCTGCACCAGCCTAAGCCTCGGCTTCCTCCGGGACTAGGACCCAGACAGCGGATTCCGAGCTTTCCAGCCTTAAATTTCATCTGGTCCAAGGCTCATCCTAGAGAAGACTGAAGCTAAGTGGCTTGCCCAGGGTCACCCAGGTAGGGTAGAGCAGGGATTTCCAAGTGGGCGGGCTGACTTCAAAGCACAATCTTTCCACTGCCCGTGAGCGCCAGATTAGGGGGAACTCATTCGGCTGCCCACCGGGCTAGCGAAGGCTACAGTATTCAGTTCGTGCCATATAAAGAGTGGGTGAAAACGCAGCCTAGACACTTCTCTGAGGACATGCTAGATCTCCAATCTCTTGACACCCAGGTGAATTTCCTTCCACTGTTCCGGGATCCTTTCCTTTCTTGTACACATTTAACAACTCCGGCTTTAAAAAGTAGTTAGCGGAGATAAGATCATGATGGGACCCGTAGACCTCAGAACTACTCACTTCTTCAAAGAAGGTCATGAAATCAGTGCAAAGGACAGCCAGTAGAGACCTTTATCCTCCCCTTCATCCTTCAAAATCAAATACTTGTAAAGCCTTGTCAGTTCCACGTCCCCAGTCTCTTTCCTTCTCCCCTCCTCTTCAGCCACACAGCGCCCCCCGCCCCATTCACACCCTCCTCAACTGTCACCGGTCTTCCCACGCTTAAGACAGAGAAGGGCTGGCATGTGAAAATGGGATTAGATTCGTTCTTTTTGGCCAAAGAGCTGCAGAGAGGATAATTTAGGCCCAATGTACCTCGATTCTAAATTCATTGAACACCTTAGCAAGGCACATAGCAGGAGAAACTAATCAAACTCTCCCAATCCAACTCTAAAATAAGTTCTCTTGGAAAGTGGGGAGCTCCCTATCACCAGACAAGGGAACTCTCCATACTTATTTAATAGGAATGTTGTCAGGTGAATGCCTGTTCAAGTATATTTTGGATTTGATGATCTCTGAGGTCCCTTCATACTCTGAAATTCTGAGAAGATAAATTGGAAGGGCCTTGCCAGCTTGGAAAGTCGACATGATTCTCTCCAAGGGGGAAGCTGGCTTTGGCTGCTTCACCAAAGGAAGACCTTGTTCTCCGGGAATCATTCCTAGGACTCTGTATCTCCCAACAAGAGACCCTGTATGCTACAGTGGCAAACCCTCTAAAGAAAGGAATTTGGGGGGGCACAGCTGGAGAGAGAAGGTGCCTTACCAGGCTTCATCTATTGAAGCCAAGTGTTGAATGTAAGAACTGAATTTTTTTTTAATTTTCATAAACAAAACTTTATCTAGTACACACATTTTTCCACTAATACTGCCACTTTTTGGAATATTCCAATAGGACAATGCAATTATTTACCAACTATTCCCCATACACCCTTGACAAACTTGTCGTATAACTCTTGGGGGTACATGCACCCCAGTTTGGCTACCTGTGCCTAACAACAGACAAGAAGAGCATGTTGTTATCTTTGTCACCTTACCTGAACATCTAGCCAAAAGCCAATCTCTCTTCTAACAAAGAGACAAAACCGATTTTTCAAGGTCTGTCTCTGCTACCAATTCAATGTATGGCCTTAGTCAATTCATTCCCCCTTGCAACAACTACAAAATGAAGATGACTGGCTGATCTTTAAGGTACCTTCCAACCATAGATCCCATGACCTTAGTGTCAGAGCCTCAGTTTCCAGGAACTCATATTATCCTTGGAAGACAGTGAATAGGAGCAGCTTTCACTGGGGCAAGTGGCCAAAGCTTGTGGCTATAGCCTGGCTTCTGGCCAAGTGCAGCTGCCTAACCACTTGTAGCCCTGGCCCAGCTGCAGCCACTGGTTGGTTGAGAGTTTTCTCATGGTCCATCACCTGCCAACCACCCTCTTTGCAAACATACTTTCATCAAGGCACAAAGTTGTGGATTCAATCTCCCCATGGGCCAGCTAAGTTTACTCTGTTCCCGGGTCACAGGTTGGTCCCCAGGGGGACAAGGTGAAAATCATGTCAACAGAGCAGTGCAACCCCCCCCCCAGGACCAACAGCAGACTGCAGACAATGTCCCCAGCACAGCTTTGTAGAGAAAGAACTGCATTATTGTAAACACGAAAAAGTCCCATTTAAGCAAAACGGCTGGAGGATGGGGTGCTCTGGTTAATAAGTTATTTAACTGAATTATCCTATATATGCTGATGAAGAGTTCCACAGAGACCATACACAGAACATCAATGAGCAAAGAATCATAACACAATAAAATGGACAATAAAATGACATAGAAGAGAAATCAGTCTTGCTTGGAACAAAACAGTTACTACCTGGATTCTAAATAGAAGTTTTCTCTCTTTGAAGACAGCGTTACTGATGGTGATCACACTATGTAAGCACAAATGTGGTTGCAAACATTAGGCCACAATCTCACTTGGAAATCTTAAAGGCAAACCTTAGAACTATAACAATCAAAGGTACGTTCTTCCTGCTCTCTGTGAGTGACCCTAACATGGGCCTATATTCACCTGATCTCAAAGAGGTTGATTCCTGGGCTTCCCTCCTCTCTCTGGCTCCAATAGAGAGATAATGT